TTCCCTCCATCTCTTAGGAATCTCATCCAGTCTGGTAACTTGAAACACCTCTAATGACAGTGACTCCTGACGCACAGCCCCTGCCAAAACCTCTCTCCCCAACTCCAGTCTCTTGTATCCAGTTATCTGCTCACCATCTTGAAATGAAAATGTCCCAATCTGATCTCCAGATTTTACTTCCCAAACCTTCCTTCGGGTTTCCTTATCCTGGTTGATGGCAACTGCATCCTTCCGGTTGCTCAAGACAAATCCTTAGCAAAATCTTCGGTCCCCGCCCCCCTGCAACTCCTCCCGCACCTCCCAACCAACTCCCTAGGGAATCCTGCTAGTTTGACCTTCAACTTGCATCCAGAATCCAGCCATTTCCATCAGTCTCTCCATGACCACGCTGGCCCAAGTCGCCACCACCTGTCGGCTCAGCCACTGCAACAGCCCCCTAACTGATCTCCCTGCCTCCACACTTGTCACAACAGCAGCCAGGGGTCTTTCCTGATCACTTCTCTGCTCAGAACTTTCACTGCTCCCAACACCCCTGCCCTGGCCTCCAGACGCTGGCCCTCTGGCGCCCTCTGGCTCCCTCTCCGGCAGCCACACTCACCTCCTTGACGTTCCCTCAAACCACTCGGCCTGTTGCCACCATCTTGGGGCCTGAAATGTCCCCCTGCCTGGAATGCTCTTGCCTCCAGTTACCCCAAAGCTCCCTCCCTCCCTCCCTCCTTTCCTTCAGGTCATTGCTCAGTAATCACCTTCTGAGGGACGCCCCTGAACAGCTGTACCTAAAGTCGCAAGCGTCCACCCACGCTAACCCCTGATCGACTTAGCCCATAGTCTGAAACACCTAACGAGCTCTACGATTTGCTGGTCTATTACACTTGATGCTTCCTGTCTGTCTCCTCCCACTGGAATAGAAGCTTCATAAGGAAGCTTCTGTTTCATTCACTGCCATCTCTCAAATCCCTAGAACCGTGCCTGGCACGTCTTTGACACTTCAGAAGCACTTGTCAAATGGATAAGCGAATGCACCAGATTTGGTCTCTACTTGGCAAATGGTAGCTATTAACTGCTATTTGTATTCAATCAGAAGGGCCTTCCCAGCACTTTTCCCTCCAAGATTCCTAAAAAGAGCCTCTCCCAGAGAACTTTTCTCTACCAAGCCCGTATCATTTACCAAAAGTACTTCGAGTTCTTTCCTTCCCAAGAATATTTTATGACTCCCAGTTGCTTTAGGTTTGAAATACAAAGTCCTCAACCAGCTGCCCGTTGCTCCCCAGAGATCTGGTTCCAGCCCCTCATGTCCCGCAACTCATTTCCATTTGGATCCCTCGGTCACCCTGAACTCCAGTTACTCCCACCCACTGAGAGAGGCAGACACTGAAGAAGATTTAGGTATTTGTTCCTGCTGGAGAAGAGCCTACCAGGGAGGCACAGATTGCCCAGAGTAAGAAATTAGGAAGCAAACGCTGGCGGAGGAACTAAATGCTAATAGAGGAAGATGGAGAGAGACTCAGAAAAGAATAAACCCCAGAAGCACAGCCAGGGTCCTGGCATGCAGAGAGCAGTAACCTCTGAGTCAGATAACTTGGCTTCTGGTCTCATTTCTGCCAATGTCTGACCTTGGAAAGGGAACCTCCTCGTCCCAGCCTCCCGCCCCACCTCTGGCCTCAGCGCCCGCATCAGGACGCGGAGGGCTGGACTTCACAGCTTTGCATATGACGTTCCCAAGGCTGGGGCGCTCCAGGAGCGCGACAGGCATGAATTAATGCCCAGCAAATAATGAATGCCTACGCTGCTCGAGGGACCCTTTTCCCTCATGGGAGGTTTTTTTTAATCTTTTTTTTTTTTTTTGTAATTTAGTTTTAATTTCTCAATTACAATTGCCATACAATATTATATTTATTTCAGGTGTATAACGTAATGATGAGACATTTCTATAACTTACGAAGTGATCACCCCAAAAGTCTAGTACCCATCTGACACCGTACACAGCTATTACAGTATTATCCACTATGTTGCCTACGCTGTACTTCACATTCTGGTGACTATTTTTATCACTGCCTATTCGTACTTCTTAATCCCTTCCCCTTTTTCACCCAGCCTCCCACCCTCCCTCCCATCAGAAGGTTTTATTTATAAAAGAATGTTGTTGTTCAAACACATCTGAGAAGGACCGGCATCGGTTATAAAGGCCCTTCCTATGATTCACGAAGACATCATCATCCTGCCTTTCCCTTTGCCAGGGACGCCCTGTCCGACCCCCACCCTTTCTAAATCTTATAGTGAAAACGAATCTCTGTCTCTCCTTAGTGCCCCTGAGGTACTTTTTTTGATTCCTTTATAGCTCTTACCATGAATGATGTGAATGATCATTATCTGCATCCGCGTCTGCCTCCCTCACTAGTTTGTGCCTGTCAGGATCCTTTATCAGCCACTTGTACCAAACAGATGTTAAACCATTGCTTGCCAAGGTGAGAAGGAAGAGCAGAAAGTCTCTCCAAAAGAGAGAATTCTACGAGCAGCCAACTATAACACTGACGCCATTTAAAAAATAATTGACAAACATTCGTTTGGTACCTACCACGTGCCATTCACTTTTACTTTCATATTTATTATCTCATGTAATTGGAATCCAAATGGTAATTAAGGTTATTCATCCCTTGTCCTTTAAGATTAAAATGGATTCTACCCAAACTCTCTCCCCAGACACAGTGGGAGACCCCTTTCTCCTGGATATTCTTGGACAATAGCAAGGAGGAGCTTAGATGTCTCCTGGTCCTTAGGTGAAATCTACTACTGCTGAATTCGTTCAGTTTGGGGATCACTTTCACCGAACCTTTTCCCAGGCTAAAGACAGCCCCAACTAGTCCTCTCCACAAAATGCCATTGTCACAAGCTAGGAAGGTTGTCTCAGGAGCCGATGCTCTGTCTGGGTTCAGAGGGATGGTAGAGGTTTATGTCAGAGTCCAGGAAACTACTGGTGACTGCAGATTAGACACCTTTGTTTTGTAAAGTTGTAATTTCTCATGGGATGGCTTTTCTGCAGGCTCCGCCATCCCGCCATGTTGTTCAGGCCCATCTTACCCCCCTAATCATCTCACTTCCCTCCCTGTGGCTCATCCATACCCCCAGTCACTTCCAACACAGAACAGTTTCACTGACCAACGGTCCAACTCCAGCCCCCACCCTCAGGTCTCTCCCACCATACCTGAAACCAGTCATCGCGGTGTTTCCCTGAACAGCGACCACCCTACCCCTTAGAGGAACACTCACAGTTAGTGTTAAAATGACAACTCTTTCACAAACGCACTTGACCCTCACAAAAACCTGGCGAGCTATTTTCTCCACAAGGCTGAGACAAGGCTAGGGGACTTCCTCAAAGCCGTCACCATGGTCCACTGCAGAGCCACACCTCTGAGCCCGACCCCAGACTCCCGGAGCAGCGCTCATGACCTCCCCACTCGTTCTGATTCCAGACCCCTGGAATGGCTGTTTCCAGTGTGCTGCTCATCTTCTGCCTCCTGGAGTTCTGCATTGCATGCACAGCTATCAACTTTGGATGCCAACTGGTCTGCTATTCACAGAACCATGTGAGTGCCGGAGGCTCCTCAATGCGTGGAAAGATGCCCCAAAGAGGGTGGAGACGAGAGCGGTCTTCATGCCTCCCACTCTTGCCCAGGAGCGGGAGGAGTCTAATGGCCTTGAGCATCCCTGGTCCTTCCTGCACCCTTACTACTGTGCCTCCTGTGTCCATGTTTTCCAGGTGGGCATGGTCTTACCCAATGTCTATGTGGCAACATCCACTGTCGTCCCAGAACCAGCGAACCCGCCACCGACTTATTCCACTGAGGTGCAAGGCTCCAAATAAGCAAAGCCAAAGGTTCTAGAAGCATCTTTCACTGGGACCAGCCGAAGACCTCCTTTTCCTGGGCTTCTGAAACTCACTTCTTTCCTCCTCGACTATTTAAGGGAAATGTCACTCTGACTGCCCGCATTCTGGACGTACTTCAGTTCAGCATGAAAATCACGCTGTTCTTCTATCAAAAAGGAGACAGGGATTTAAAGTGGATTTTAACCTCCCTAGGGTAGCCACGTGTGGGGATTCCGTACGCAAATATTCATACACCTCCCTGCGTGAACTTGAGTATTAGAGAAACCTGTTATCTAGGCAACCGGAGCTTGATTCTTTGCACTCTTCACTCATTGAATAAATACGCACCGAGCATTTGATATGTTCAAGGCTCTATTCGCAGCAGGAGGAGGGTAAACACTTGTGAACACAAGAAGTCCTTGACGTTAGGAAACTTCTGGCCTCACCGAGAGAACAACGTGAGCAATTTTCTCTAATACAGGGCAGAATGTGGGGATAGGCAGAGGGAGAACAGAGAGGGATGTGATTTATTCTAGCACCGATGAGGAAAGCAGAGGGCAAGCCTGGTCGAGGAAGCGACATTTGAGTGGGTCGTTAAAGGAGAGC